GCACTGTCTCCAGGAGGTGCAGGGGACAAGGTGTAGGAGGAGACAGGGGTGGCAAAGGAAGAGGTATCAGAAGGGAATGCAACAGAGAGCTGGTTCTAGAGCATGCGGGGTGACGCTGGGCTGGGAGAGAAAATTCCAAAATCAAACTGACTATTTTTGCAAGGTTGCACAATCCAGAGAAAGACATTCTGGCAGTCTGCTGCAAAGCCCTTCTCTCTGGCCTCTGACCTCATAAGGCAATCTTCATGTGCTCACCAGCCCCTGAGAAATCCACATTTGAGAAGCTCTAAGAGTGGCTTGATTCTTTACTTACCATAAATGGTGGAGAAAAGGAGCAGAATCATCAAGGTGAGAAAGTGGTTGTGGGAGGTGTCCTTAAAACAGAGCTCCATGGATTGTGGCCTTGGAATAAAGCTCTCTTTTTCTATCTGTTTATATGTTTTCTAAATAAATGGACTGCTTACAGAAGACGAATGGGTTGCTTGGATGGGGTAGAGGGTCGCTTATGCATTAGATGTAGCCAGGAAGTCAGCAAATACTTCTGAGGCACCTGTTATACGCCAGAGAGATTCACTTCCTGTCCTCAGAGTGACATAGGTGAGAAGGAGAGAAATGTGGGTCCCTGTGGGAGTATGTGACAGGAGAGAAATGTGGGTCCCTGGGTGTCAGAGAAAGGAAGGTAAATGCCAGCTGAAACCTAAAAGACAAGGAGACTACAAAGTTCCCAGTGCATGTGAAATAAAGCAAGTCTCCAGGAGCTCACTGTAATATAGCAAGGAGCATGAGGACTATTTTTACAAAAGAAGGAACTAGGAGTTTGGATTCTAAGCCTGCTGCCTACATGCTCCAAGACACAGAACTCAGGCAGGCATTAATCAATCACACAGAACAGAACATCTGAAGCCTATTGAGCAAAGAGATTGTATTATGGCCATTCATTAACTAAACCTATTACAAACTAGCCACAGGCTGTACCTTCCAAAAGTTAAAGGTAAACCTGCCCCATTCTTCTTGCCCCCTGCAAAAGTTCCCCATAACAAAAAATTTCCCATGGAAACAAGAAACACATATAAACCCTACCCCAATGAAATGAGTGGGATCTCTCCTCCACTAGTGATTAGAGACTGCCTCTCGGTCTGCGGGATCACCTTTCTTTTCTTACTTACTGCTAGCTAAACTTACTTTCACTTTAAACTCTATATTGGCTCATGTTTGAATTCTTTCCTATGTGATGCCAAGAACTTTTTTAACCCAGGGCTTGAGTCCCCACTCCTGGGAATTGGTGTCGCCAGCATCAATGGCACAGAGCCTTAGTTGGGCCTTTCCTTGGGGCATCACCTACCAGCAATTCTGGGGGGAAGATGGGCTCTTGGGTTGGATCCTGGGGCATGAACATCTCTGGGTTGAATAAAGATGGTGAGAGAATGATCTGCTGAGAAAGGAAATAGATGTGTTGGTACAGTATCTCCTTTAAAATGCCCCATAGCTCTGACCCAATTCTTTGTTCAAATGACTCATACGCAGCCCCCCGCAGGCATGTGAAGGGACAGGAAGCTCCTGGAAGGCAGGGACAAGGATGTCTTCTTGCCAGAGCACCCAAGGTTAACATGCATATTGACCACCCTCTTAGTCTTGGCAAAACTGCTTCCTCTTCCAGCCACACTGCCAAGAGTGTAGATAGTACACTGGCTCCTTTGATCTGAGATTGGCCCCCAGGCTTCCAGGGAGAGGAGGACCCACTTACCGAGTGGTCTTTCTTCTGGTTCATGCAGCAGTTTGGGTTGTCTTTATTTCCTCCACAGTATCCGCCATCCTAGATAGATGACCAGCATCCACACAAATATATTTGCAAAGAATTTTCACAGAAGCTCAAGAACCTACATTATTAATGTCCAATGAAGTCTAGCTCTGACACCGATCCCCACATCAATAGAATGACAGTTACTTGACCCACTCCATTTGACTTTGCATAGAGGTAAGGCCTCTGCTTGAACTACTTTCCCTTGCTTGGTTAATGTAGACTAAACAACTCCTGAAGAAACAAATAGGACCTCTCCTAGAAGCTGCAGGGAAATTAAAGGAAATTTCCCCATAAAGATAAGTTTTACTTTATCAAAACATAACTTGATGCCCATTTTCCCTCTTTAGTGCTGCTTAGTTAGGAAGCCTCTATGACAGAAATTCCCATTTGGTTTTCTCAGCACTCAAGAGCCTTTATTTCTAGATCAATCAAGTTCTGTGGAGCTTGGCTGGGTGACCTCCAGGCTGGGTTCTTGTGGGTTCCTGACAAAGGTGTCCAAGACCAGTGCTGGGTCCAGAGATGTGTCCAGCCAATGAGCCTGACATAATAAGCAGTGGTCTCATTAGACACTTCTGGCCAGAAAGCTAAGCATTCTTTACTCCTCACTGTGGGCCTTTTCTGGAGGAAGTGTACACGTCTGATGACCCATCACCCATGGAGAAAGGACATGCTCAGGGCCTCTCAGGATGCCAATGGCAGAGCACGGAGTAGAGTCCCGATTGCTGCCTCCAAGAACTAATGCATCAGGGAAAGGGTGTGTTCACCTGACTGATCTGCCCCAAAAAGGCAGGAATATCAGCTGAGGACCTCAGGAGACATACCAGAATCAGAGTTGTGCTAACAGGCAAATGTGGGGACAGCTCCCAGGCACATCCCAGACCCATTTCCAGAGTAGCCAATTCCAGAAGAGCGGGCTGGAGGGCAGCCCTTCTGCATATGAATTACAGGATTCCATGTTGACATTTCCTGAAGGATGAGTCAAAACCCACTAGTGTTTCCAAGAAAGCTCTCAGAGGGCCATGGGAGCCAAAGGCGTGGCCTTTGAGAACCTGAAAGCACTGTCAGACTTGGCATTGGGAGAGAAACCCTCCCATGCCTCAACCTCCCTGCACGTGCTGCCCTGCAGGCAGACCCCTCCTGCATTCACAGCTTCGCCATGGGATCTCAGAGCTGCTGGATTTTGGACCTGCACACCACCACCTTGCCCTTCTTCTTTCTAGTTAGACAGAAAAGAAGAAAAGAACATTCTTTTCTGATGTGGGGAAAT